CATGCCATATATGAATTAAGAAGTCCATGATGATGGACATTCAGTGCTAGCGATTTCCTCAGGATCGCAAACTGCCATTAAAACTGCCATTAAAAAATGAATTTTCAAAAACGGAACAAAATTGGTAATTTGGGTCAATCGATTTCAAATATATACAGATATCAGAAAGATACGAATGCTATGTGAAAGTAACAGCCAGTGATGGTGATGTGTAATTTATTGGGCCTTGTAAACGAATTTTCCGCAAATTATATGGGTCTGAATTTTCCAGCCAATGGAAGTATACGTTGATGATGAAGCAAAGTTAACGTTGCATGGATTACAGCAGCATTATGTGAAACTGAAGGAAACTGAGAAAAATAAAAAATTACTTGAATTACTCGATCAGTTGGAATTCAACCAAGTAAACTTTTTTTAAACGAGATGTTATAGAAGCAAATTGTGTATATTTTATCGCAGAAGAGATTTCTGATGCTTTATCCGCGGCTTAAAGCATTAAAAGTAATTTTTCTGTACTGGTGGCGGTCAGTGGGTCACTATCGAGAATTATGGTTTTTAAGAGGATCTCATATTCGTATGGTACTATCACATTGTATATTCTTGTCTTAATGCACATTTCAGGTCGTAATTTTTGTGCGATCTGTACAACGCTGTGGTGCTTTGCACACTTTGCTCTCCGAACAAAATTTTCCAAGTATTGCAATTCACCGTGGTATGCCACAGGAGGAACGCCTTTCTCGATACCAGCAGTTCAAAGACTTCCAGGTATTGTGTAGATTATGACTGCTAAGTTTTACCTATCCTTAAAACTGCCAGTGATGCATTAAATGATGTTTTGATAAAAATGGTGATAGTTGCATCATTCGTCACTACCACTGAGGCATTCAACAACGACTGGTGAGATGGAAGGATCCTTGTTATATCATTCTTAAAAATGATTGTTCTAGAAGCGTATCCTTGTTGCAACGAATCTTTTTGGTCGTGGTATGGATATTGAACGCGTGAATATTGTGTTCAATTATGACATGCCGGAAGATTCAGACACATACTTGCACAGAGTACGGTTTTTTGCTCATTTTCATTTATACTTTAACAAGTGCTGCTCTTTCTTGAAATAGCACCTCCATACCTCCATAAATTTTATGAAATTAACTCAAGTTTAATTTTGTGGAATTAACTCAAATTTACTGCTATGAACGCTGGTCATTTGATAAATGAATAAGAGGAACTTCGAATGAGTACTGAAATATTGAATTGAAGGTAGCACGCGCTGGACGTTTCGGTACTAAAGGATTGGCGATAACATTTGTCTCAGATGAAAATGATGCGAAAATTCTGAATGATGTACAGGACAGGTTTGACGTGAATGTTACCGAATTGCCAGCTGAAATTGAGGTCGCGACATACAGTAAGTTTTTTCTTTAAGCTTCGTTTTGTGTTTCAGTACACTTAAGTATATGACGTTATGAAGGTTAAATTGCTCCCTTTTTATTTTGGAAGATGTTTTCAAAGTATAGTTAGATCGGGTTTTATTTTTCCCATCATATTTCTGACTTGGTCTTTCTTTTTTATTTTCGGCTTTGAATATGTTACTTGATTAGAAGCAAAAGTAGTTTGGATTTCAGTTGAGGGACGAGCTAACTGAAAGAAAAATGGCTCGGATTATTTGCATATCGGTGGCAGTTCATGGAAGAACATCACCAAAAAAAGTTGTTGTTGCTGTTAATGAGTCATTTTCCTTCATTGTAGTAGTGTTTTTGTTTGTCAGAAATTGTTTTCTTATAAAACCAGCGTTGCAATTGTTTGAAGAGATGATTTCCACTTTTTACTTGACAAATTATTGCTTGACAATTATATCCTTGACAATTATTGTATCGTTCCATCTTTTTATTACTTGAAAAATAAATTTGCATTATTCAAAAGTTTCAGTGTGAGAGCTGTGTATATCAGATGAAGGGAATATAGGATGTTTTCATCAAATAAACCAGTACATGTCGTCAGGTGAATCGGGTTATATGTCGCAAACGCTTATAAAGAGAGAAATAAATGGGCATAACTTATTTTAGGGAAGAGTTATCATGGTATACAGCTGGGGTTTGTCGCCAAAGGCATCTTCTGGCTACCTTCACATGGATGCTTACGTGGAACTATAAAACAGCTATTAGCTATGCTTTTTCGGAATCCTTAGGGAATCTTTTCCTGTTTCGGAATCTTTAGGTTAATTAGCCTGATTAGGTGAATGACTGTTGTATTTCGTTCGTTTCAGCGAAATGGCTTTGGTATTGTTGATGGGTACACCTGGTTCCGGCAAGACATATCTGTGCGGGGAATTGAAGATGAAACTTGGCGATGGAATTTGTGCCACTTTCTCATATGATGATATTTTCAACGATGATGGTTTCATGGAGTACCTATGGGGCAAAGAATATGCCACTGGAAGTATGCTGCGACTATATAGTTTGGATGGTAATACAAATGCTCATAATGAACGGAAAAGATGTGAAAATCGGATACGGGAATTTTTGAAAGTGACGCTATCAGTTGAAGATATTGTACCACCGGTAACTGTGGTTGATGATATATTTTATTTGAAAAGTATGCGAAGACCGTTCCGTAAAATGTCAATAATGTTTCATCTTCCGTATCTAGTTGTGCTGGTAGATGTGCCAATTGCTACAGCTCTAACACGGAATATGCAACGTCCTGTGAAGTGTCGCGTTTCGGAATCAACCATTCGGAAAATTCATCAACAAATGGAATTACCATCAAAAGATGATGGTAACTTCTTCATCTATCAATCTACAGATGATCTAAAATCACTAATTGAATATATTGATCGCATTAGATTGAAAACAAACTTATGGCTTAATTCGGATAATGTCAGGTCAAGAATATCTGAGAAAGACGAGGGAACATCATCGAATGACGCGAAACTGATGAAATTGGAGCTTGATCTGCGAAAATGTGTCAGTGAATTGATTCGAGAAAAAAATATTGGTAAAGATGGTAACATATTAGCTAAAATGAAGAAAAGTCTTTATTGGAGAATACGAACAGAAGATGTTATTGATTGGGATATGCAAGAACTGAAGGATATTTTGTGGAAAGAACTTCAGGTCTGATAATTATCTCAAGGAAATAATTATTTCAACACTCATTATTTAACGTTCCAAATTCAAATCTCCCCCAAATATTAACTTAGACGATGATGAGCGGTGACCTTTAATTTACTTCCGAAACACAATTCATTGCAATAAACAAATATAACAGTGACCTCAGTAGAAACCATTTTATCCTAATAATTCGTCCCTGCTTTTTCTTTTTTGTAGATCTGTCTAAAAGTTGAAAAATCTTTCGAAATAAATCCCTCGGGTCATTATTGAGTTATTCCCTCTTATTTTATCTAAATAATGTGATTCATATCACTTTATCACTGATTATCGACTATCATAATTTCCTTTTTTTGTTTCAGGAATATTATAGCTCAAAGAAATGAATCAATAAATTGACCGCTTGTCAACCATGAAATTATCTAATGCGAACAACAATGCTTACATTATTCAGTTCCTGAAAGTTGTAAATAATAATTATTCCAGTTTACTTATCACTACCTGTTTAACATTTATCAGCTCCAATAGAGATGTGTGTTTTTCTTCTGGGATATTACAAATCTGCAGATATCTCGCTATCGCTATTGTCATTTAAAGTGACAAAATGAAAAATGCATTTATACTGGAACAAATGATGTTACCTTTTCTTCTAATTAATAGACTAAAACTTTTCTTTCCTACCTTTCCCTTTCTCTTCCTCTTCTTTCCTGCTCTCTGGAAGAATATCGAGAAATCTTATTTATATAGATATATACATGTACATGTACAAATATGTAAATATATGGAAAGGAGGAGGAGGAGGAGGAAGAGCGGGGGAGAAATGGTGAGAGGCAGAAAGGGGGAAGGGGGGAGGGGGAGAAGAGAAGAGAAGTTTGTACTCCCCTTTCTTTCCTTCCCCCCTACAGAGTGATCGATTCGTCATATCGTTGCTTTTATCGCTTCACCCAACCGACCCCTCTATTTCCTGCTCCTCCCTTCCCTCCCTTGCTAATATTGGCAGAGAAGAAGGAGGAAGTGTTTTGTTTAGATATTTTCTGGAAAAGTATGGAGAGGGCGGGGGAGGGAAAGTAAGGGAGAGAAGCGGCGGGAGAGGAGGAAATATTGTAGTTGAATGATGAAGAGGAGTAGTGGTAGTGTGATGGAACAATTAACAATGGGCGGTAGAAGGAGGAGGAGGGGGAGGAAGAAGAGGAGGAGGAAGATCCTGTGTCACCTACCCTCTTGTTCGTTCGAGTAGTAATGATAGTGTTGGGGATGGATAAGAAGTAGTGTGGGAGGGAGCGTCACCAGAAATGGGTGTAAGAAGGGGGGAAATATTGAATTTGCAAAATATTTTCCCACCTTTTTACATCTACTTGTCCCTTTACCACTCCCGCCTCATCCCCATACCCTTTCATCTTCCCATTTCTCTCCTTTTGCGCATATCATTCTTCCCCGCTTACCCCTTTATACCCCTTTTCTCCCCGTCATTCTTTCCAATTGTGATGAAAACATTGAACGAACCGAGGGAACCCGTTCGGCTAATTTCAACCATTTTCCCCTTCCGTTATATCAGTTTTTCGATTAATTTCGCAGTGAGGTTTAATTGATTAGTTAATTAATCAGTTGATAGTGGACATATTAACAGTTTTAATCTGGGAAGTCGGTAATTTTTCATTTATCAATAAAATGACTAATAATATGAAGTTACTAAATTGTTAAATTTATTTTGCTTAGTATAATTCCAAACGTTTTACATGTCAATTTGTAGAATGAGAGAATGAGAGATACCACTGATTGATTAATTAATCGATTGAATAACTGGTTGATTGATTGATTGATCGATTTATTCTTTCATTCATCATCGCATTGATAAATTCTTTCACACTAATTTAATCATTATATGATTGATATGTATAAATATGCCATTTTATGTCGTCGATTTGGTTTAATTTTTCTATCAGCGGAATAGTCTCTATAGCGATATAGTTTCCAGTCCGTAAATTTTCCCGGAGGATTTATAAAAGCGGGATAAATTTAATCATGAGAAGTGTTATTTTCCCGGAATTGAATTAAATCAGATTGAAAAAAGAACCATTTTCCAAAATATAAATCATTTCTTTTTTCCCATTGTATTCATTGGAAAGATACAAAAAGACAATATTTTAAGTGGATTAAATCATCAGGTCAAATTAATTGGTAAGGGAACAAAGGAAAATTTAGGCATGAAAATGCTACCAATCTTTCGGCATAATATTACTAAAAGTTAAACGAGTATGGATGATAATATTAGAATCTTCAGACTGTCTGCTTTTTTTTTATTCGTTCATTAATTTATTTTTAATTTAAAAACTAATTTCAACAAGACCTCAGGATAGCGACAGTATCAAAATTTTATGGGCGCTCATTTGCGCCCGTAAATTATTTGCCATTCTCTTTGTGGCTTACTTTTTTTTGCTTAAGTATTTAAGAAAATGCATTGAAATTAGTAGGATACACTTCCGCTTAGGCCCTATACACTTAGCTCTTAATTGCATTTCCACTTTTTTTTACATTTCACATATACACGGGGGAGTGCACACCCAGACGCGTGCAGACAACAGACACACACCCACGACAGACAGACAGACGACACACATACACGCGCATGCATGCATGTAGACATAAATCGTTGATCAAGATATCAAGTTAGACTAGTACATTTGTTTTCCTATAATATACTGGATTCCGGTTTTAGACTTAACATTATTAATTATGCATAACCGGTCAATATACATCACACTTATGCTACGATGGATAGCACGTTAGATTTGAAAGTAATTTTGTTCATTATTTATACTTATTGCATATTTGTATATTGTTATTTGATTCTGTACTACCTATCATAGTCAACATTTGACTATGATAGGTAGTACAGAATTATCAAAGATTGAATTTCCGTAGATCGTAAGAGAATTAATTAAGATGATAATTAAAATAGGGATGGGTTGCGTACAAAAGGATTTCTGCTATGTTATTATTATCCATTCACACTGTATTACTAACAAAATATGAAATAAAGGGAAAAGAAATAATGAAATATCACAGAAAAAAAGTGATGTAAGGAATGGTAATCAAATAACTATAAGAACAAGTTTAAATAACGAAATAATCATATGACAAATTTGAGTAGTTGATTATAGCATATGAAATAAACGTTTGAAAAAAGCAATAATCCTAAATGATTCGGTAGTAATTGTTAAATCTAACGTACTAAAAAGAAAAAATTGTATACTATACTGGATAAACGAGATTAAGCTTGAAGATCGAAATTTTCATTTCAGAAGAATCAGTTTCACGTCCAATCTTTAGCTAGAATAATATTCTCATCTTAGCTGCAAGGAATTTGGACAGAAATTTGATCTCTTCTTGAAAATTCCTTTTGATAAGCGTTTTGGAAAAGCAATATACCACCCATTTTGATAGCTTAGCTAAGCTAAGATAAACTATTCAATAAATAAACTATAAAATAATTGAAATAATTTGAGTAGCCTATAAAATTATTACCGATAGCATACATGAATAGCTTAGCATTATCAGTTATGGTTTATTATAGTCAATAATATTAGTGATGGTTAAATACATTAAAACGATTTGTTTTAGAATGTTATAGCCGAAGATATGTTCATCAATATAAATATGAATATATATATGTATATATATATATATATTATATATACATATATATATTATATTTACTATATTATATATACATATATACATATGTAATTGATTATTGATTGAATTATAATTAATTCCTAATTAGTCTTTCGAATTGAAAAACTTTTTCTGGATAAGGTTTGAATAAACATATTTACAGTACAGCAATTGGACAAAAAATTATTCTGAATATACATGTAAAATGTAATCGAGCCATTTTTAATTAGTCGTTTTTTTAATTGTTTTTTTTTTTTTAATTTGCCTCCATGTTAAAAGTATTGATGTTATTATACGAACAGGATGAAAATGGTAGGTACCGTAATGGCTGTAGTGGAAAATGTGAAATCATCAGTATCATCGTCATCATCAACAATGGAAACGGTGCAGCAACAACAACAAGAAAATGATAATAGTATTAAATCACTTGATTTACAATGTGATGAAGAATTTGATGAAGTATTGGCCGAAAGACCTACTACCAGCTATAATCGTTCGCATCAACAACAGCAACAACAACAACACCAACAAGATCAACAACAACAACAACAGGAGCAACAACAACAAAATGATCATCATCATCATCAGCAGCAGCAGCAGCAGCAATACCATTCAACTGATAATCATATATCGATAAGTGGTGGTGGAACTGTTAACAACTGCTCTGTTGTTGATTCACCGTGTAAGTCAAAGAAAAATATCCATCTTAAAAAAATTTTCATGCATTTGACATCTTTCCAGTCTGTGATTATTGCTGTTTTATGAATACTTATGATTTAAAAAAATCGATTGATAATATTATCGAATTACCAAATATTAATTGGTAAAAAGATTAAAAGTTAAATTAATGAATATTCGTTTCATATGAAGGTAAAATCTATGATTAAATGCTACTAGTGTTATAGTTTAATTTAACAAATTTGCATGCATGCTTTTATCTGACGTACATTTACTGATCACCTAACTATGAGAACTCCATTGAATGTTTGTTTCATTCAAGGTATATTGTTATTCGAGTATAGATATGAGAAACTGTTATCATCTTATGATCGATCAACTAGCGGATATGATATTGTTGTTTTTAGTAATGATTTAGTTTGGACTAATGAATTAGTTTATTCATTCTTGCTTTTTGAAGAAATTAATCCAAATCACACAAGGATATTCGAGTTTTTAAGCTGTTTCTTAAAATGATTTAAAATTTTCAATTTCATCTATAATATGAGTATATGTAGTATGAATTGTCATTTAAGGATGAATAAATGATTAGATTGAAGAAGTTAGTTACAGCAAGTTTATCTCTAAATAAGAATTCTTTGCAACAATTTTTATCTCATTTGCCCACGGAAGTAGGTAGCTACTCTGTAAGGAAGTTAGCATTAAAAAATCTTCATTTCTTTATTTTCAGAGTTATTTTTATATGTTTGCAAACAAATTCTATATATTTTAAATTTCAGGAATAAAATCTACAAATTGTTGAATTTTTCCTTTACTCTTTATTTATTTATTCTATTTATTCATTAGTTAATTCATTTATTTAATTAATTAATTTATCTATTTGTTCGTTTACTCATTTCTTCCTTCCTTTATTTATTTATTTGTTTACTATCATTATCATTATTATTATTACGAAGTTATTTGAGCATTTGGTGATCATTGTTTACTTTAATCATTCACCATCAAATAATGGTATTCAAGTTGATCCTTCTAATTAACATAAATTACTTTTTTCATTTTACAGTATTTAATAAAATGAAGCGCCAGTGGCGAAATTATGGTTGGTATACGTCATGTGAAGAAATGGATGAAGTACGTCGACGTGAAAAAGTATCGAAACGTAAAAGTGTCACATCAGTTCACGGTACGAAGGTTTTTTATCGTTGTAACAATTGGAGACGTACGAGATGTAATTTTCGAATGTATGCCATTATTTTTGCATCCGACAAAATGTGCTTATTTGCAAGTGGTGAACATGATCATACTGCCAAAGATCCATATTATGTTACTGAAATTACTCCACGTTAGTGTTTTTTTCTTCTTTTTCTCAAAAATTTTTGTTGTGTTTTTTTCTTTTTTTTCTCAAAAATTTTTGTTTATAAGTTATCATCAGTATGTATCATTGATATCCACATTTATCACTCAATCATACAGTTGTCACGGAAGATAACGCTTTGTCGTTAACATCAAGTAGTTGTTATTTTATCATCCAATGTTATCGAAAAAAAAAGGTCATTGTTGTCTAATATTTACTACTCTGTTATTTGTGATCAAAGGTAGCCAGATCGTCGGTAGGTCTCTTATCACTTTGTCACCGCAAATAGTACCATCTTATGGTAGGATACGGCGCAATTTATTATAGGTTGAAGTGTATGGCGTTATTTTAATTTGGAGAGATCATGATTTTTTCCATAAACTCATGATGTTAGGTGGGAAAACATCCACTCAGGGAATCGTTTACCAAAAAAAAAGTCAATGAGAAAATTATAAATTAAATTAAGTTTACGTAGAATAAAATAAAGAAAATCATTAATACACCTGGTAGCGACTGATTTCAAATCATTTTTGGTCTTAAGCTTGTTATACCAGACAAACTCCTTTCAAGAGATGTATCGATGATTCTGTCTACGTTTTATGGCAACCTCGTCTAATCCTGTTTCGAGAAGTGATTATCATAGAGTGAAATAGGTTAATGATTATACGAATCAGCTTTTATTAAGTAATCTTAATAGATGCTTTTCTGTTAAAAGCATTTGTACTGTTTATCTTTGAATATACGATTTCAACATTTTACAGAAGTGGAAAGAGATCCTCAGATATCAGTTCCATCCACTGCACAACAAGATATCCTTACACAGTTCGTCATGAATGCTACTGGTAATTTATTACCTGATACCGATCAGGAGGTAATTCATGTTTTCATCTTTTTGTTTCATATTTCAGTACTGTTGATTTTAAATGTTCTCAAAATGTGACCACATGTAATTATGCACGTTAGTAACAATGGATTAGCTAATTATCGATTTATATTCATCTCGTTCCAAATTTATTATAATTTTCAATTATTCTCTTATCCTTGAAAAAAAGGAATCTCCTTTTTTATTTGGAAGGAAAATTCTTTTCAGTCCAGAGAAGCGCCAGCGTCGCAGGTGTTCCTTCTACCTCCCACATACCAGTTAGCGGACGAACAGAGAATAACAGGAATGTTGCAGTTAGCAATGGAAATTGATCATAAGTTCACTTTCATTCAACGGTATTGTATACGTTTTCTTGCATAAAGTATTATTAGCATATGTAAATTTAAAAGAAAATCTTAAAAAAAACAAGTTGGCGTTATTTTTTTGAGTAGACTTTTTTGTTGTTAATTATAAATTGCAATAAATCATTAACAATAACAAAAAAAAAGTTTGCCCAAAATTTGAAAAAAAAATTGACAAATTCAGCATATTTTTCTCATTATTAGGTTTATCTTCATGAAAATGAACTAATTCTTAGTTGGTACTAAAGCAAGGCGTTATCAAACAGTATGATAAGTAATATGTGTTAAGTAATCTGTTTGTAGGAATAATGAATTCTGTTTCGAACCAAATGATCCCATGTTGAAGGGAAGAAGCATTGTATTACTGGATGGTGGAACAGTAGTACTTGTGATTGAGAGATTTGATGGAATTGAACTAAGGTATGGATTATTATAGTAATAATTATTTTAGATTTATCATTAAAAGTATTATTTCTCTGAGGAAATCAGAACTTTTCGTAAGGAAAATCATTTCGAAGGATTTATCAAGTTTTACTCTGATAACAAATCATACTTATATTATGAAAGGCTTCATTCATATTTTAATATATTACATATTTCAACGAAAAATTCTGTTAAATAATTTATCAAATCTTGCTATTTATCGATTTTGTTTGGAGTTTTATCATTTTCAGTCGTGAAGTATGGCAAAAAGCATATTGGAATCAATTTCTTTGGGCTATTCGGGGAAAATGTATGCGTGTATTGTATCAGAATTTTAAAGAACCATCCTATTTATAACGTAAATTTACAGAAACATTTTTAATTATTCAATTTTTGATTTCTCCATACTTTTAATAATTTATCTTCTACTTCTTCCATTTTATTTCTCATTATACAGCTCGGTAAATTTCGATGATTTTTCCTTTTCTTTATTTTTGTTTGCAAATTTCTCCTACTTTTCACATGTTCATATATTCTTAATTTTTGTAAACAAAAAAGAAATTGTCTGTCAACACGGTGTAATCATATTTGATTTATGGGTTTTTTTGTTTTTTTTGCATATTATTCATGTTCATATATCTGAAATTTCATCTGTTTAAACATCGCAGATATATTTTAGAAATGCCTGAAATTTACATTTTAGAAATGAGATTTTCCTGAAAGTTTGCAAAGTTTATTTTTTAAACTTTTTAAATGAAATGTAAATATTGTAATGTAAATGTAAATCTTGGAAATCTGGATCGTTTATTGTCATTCTATCTTTCGATAAATTTGGATCATTCATTATCACTCTATCTTTTGATAAATTCGGACTCTTCATTATAACTCCATCTTTGATGAATTTACATCATCCATTATAACTCTGTCTTTGATAAATTTAGATTACTCATTATCACTCTTTCTCCTGATATCACTCTGTCTTCTGTATGCCTTTCTCTGTAATACGTGTATTGAGACGTTTTCACGTTTCGTTTTTTATTTTACTTTCGTTTAATTAAAATTTATACATTTTAAGTTTGTAGCGTCTTTCTGAGTAATGAATATCACAATTTTGATTACACGAATATTTCATATCGTTGTTTTTGCGTTTAATTCCTACGTTATTTCACGTTTTTCTCCATGTTAAAAACAGTAGTTTGCATTGTTCAAATTGTATCGAAATTTAGTGAAACGAGAAAACTGAGGAACATTCGAATTCTGATTCCATATATTCACCGTCATATTTAACGTAAATCGGTGTTATCATAAATGATTTAACTCTGATATGAATACTGATAATATTGGTGCATTTGGAACATTCTACCTTTAATTTGCCATGAATCTCCGCTATATTTTTATGATATTGGTTAAAAATTTTTCTCAAGAAGATATACATTGGCGCTAGTGAATGATTTGTTTAGATTGGTGCATATTCTAATAATCGATAATCGATCAAAAATATATTGTTACCAATGGATAATATGCATTCTGCTGTGCTTCACAACTGTTTTAATTAAGAGTCTTTAATTGTCAACTAATTATAAATTATTTGACAATTAGTTTCAGTGTTTTGTTTAATTTGAACCATAAATAATTAGTTCAGTGTTCTTGATTGATTTGCTTCAGATGAAACTATACGACTTTTTTTGAAGGATAGCAGCAATTTGTCCGCTAAAATATTGGTTTATAAAAAACCTCTTTTAAAATTAGTCTTCTCCCTCCATTCTCTCTCTCTCTCTCTCATCTTACCTAATTTTTATAATTGAAAACCTCCCTCAGTTTATGCTTTTATATTTATGCTCAAAATAAAATCTTTTTTTTCCAATCCATTTCAAATAATTTTTTCACTTAATTTATACAGTGTGTTATAATTTTTTCCTGGAATATTTCTCCAATTTTTGAAGTTCTTTTTTTTTCTGTTGAGATTTCTAATTTCAAAGACATTGATGGGAGTAAAATTATCTTTTGTGCGAAATCATAACTTCAACAAGAACATGATGACAATTTTTTAGTATAGTGGTTCCCAACCTTTTCTTGGCCATTGACCATTTTGACTTTTTTGTTTGTGGCATAGGACCAGGTTTAGGTTCAGAAATAATAGATTCTGTGTATTTGAAAGTAAACTTCAATCAGAAGTTCCGATATTAGTTGAGCTCGTAGTTAAATATTATAATAAACAGGAGGGGTATAAGTTTTAATAACTCTCACGGTCCAAATTTTAGTGCCCACGGACCATCGATTGGGGACCATTATCTTAGATGAAATATAACACATGTCATCCGTTTGTATTACATTTCATTTTTAGACCTCTCATGTATGCATGCATACTTTTCTGATTGTTGATCGGAAATTTTTGTACTATTTTATAACTTGTATAGCAACTATTAGCAAACAAACTCAAACAAGTCTTCCGGTTGGTTTGTAATTTCAATTTCTTTCTTTGCAGTATTTCAAAATTAAAATCTGGGTTTGAAATATTTGCATAAAATTTGTAGGGATGACTTTTAATGATATGTGCCTTCTTTTCATATTCTAATTATTGATTATATTCAATGCCTTCGTTATTTAATTACAAATAAAATCAGAAGGATAAATGTGTGCTACATTGTATGTTTCTCTAAATATAAAATCCGAGCGAAATGATTCCGAAAATTCCGGTTCAGAAATAAATTTCAGGATTGCGTCATTAATAGAAAAGATTCATTCACTTTCATTATCACTTACATTTGTTTAGAAAATTCAATTATCAATGATTTATTGCATATAAACGCATAACATTACCTGATTTAATAAATTAGAAATGAGGTAAGGTGAGAAACAGTATCGTCAGCCGTAATTTTAATATCTTCAATCGTTAGTCTAGTCGGAAAACTATCTGGTAAAACCAGATAATGAGAACGAAATGAAGCAGGATAAAGGAGTGGTCAAAACAAATATCAGTTTGATTTCAATCAAATCTAATTATTTGTATATTTTCTGTCTCTTGCTTATTTTTACAGTAACCGTTATTCCACTACCTGATATATGTGATTCGTTATCACTGTCAATTATAGTTAATCGTTATCACTACTGGCTTATTAATCTCGGCAGATTCATCTGTCAGGTCATCTATTTCTACTGCGCTATGTAATATATATTGCTATCTTAGCTAATTACTATTCCATTCTTCGTTTTTTTGCTTTTTATTTTCGATCAGGGCATCTGCAAGTCCATCCGTATTTACTTCGCCATGCAACATTACTTCAGTTTCTAAATTATTATGAGTTTCGTATCAGGGCATCTGCAAGTTCAGCCATATTTACTTCGCCATGCAATATTACTTCAGTTTCTAAATTACTATGAGTTTCGATCAGGGCATCTGCAAGTTCAGCCATATTTACTTCGCCATGCAATACCACATTATTTTCCTGATTAACCGTATTCGTTTCACTCACTTCTATCTAAATCAGTTTGATATTATTCAATTGTATAATTTTAACATAAAATTTGAAATCATTTTCAATGTATCAATAATAAATCGAATTCATTTTAATCTTAACATTAATTGACATACATATCATCCTTCTAACAATAAATATACTATTAAATATTGATCGATATGATGAATTTAAGTATAAAAATGGTTTT